GGGGGGCGCGCGCAAATAGGGCACGAGGGGGCCCCCAGCGCCGGCAAGCAACCCGATCACGCCACTATTGAAACCAGCCCCGCGTTCAGGCCAGGTAGCGAAAATCAAATCACCACGTCGGGCGGCGCTAGCATGTTGTAGAAGGCCGCCTCGAGGTCTCCAGGGGCGATGGAGACTTTCTGATAAGCTTCCATCGATTCAAAATCCGAAGGCGTCGGTAGACGACTGGGCGGCCTTGGCAAGAAATCACAATTGGCGACTCTAATGTCGAAGATAATCCGGAGGCGCTCATTCTTGCGCCTTGCGAAAGCAACAATCCAAGGTCTCCGCCGTGCCCACGCTTCCAAGACAGCGCGCCACTGCGCCCAACCTCTCTCAAGGAAGTCGCGCATTCACGAACGTTGTGTTTGAACGCCGGGTCGATGTAATCATGCGCCCCATGGGCACCCCTCCGCGCGGAGGCTCCGAGCGGCCTGGGGCGGTCGCAGCACGTGCCCCTTCCATTCCCTGAGCCGCGAAACGTCCGCATCGCCCAATAAGGGTGTGAGGAATGCCAGCTTGCTGGGCGCGGGCGGCCAAGCGTTCTCGTCGCCGTCGAAAGGGGCGGCGGGCCCGCCGCCGCTGGTGTAGCAGGGCGCGCGTGGCAGGAGCGCGCAGAGGGCCCCCTGTCCAGAATGGAGATCCGGATGAGGTGGACCAACGCGCCAATAGCTGTGGGAAGCGCGTTCCAGGGCTAGCCGCTGGCCCGCCGCGGGCGACGCAAAGGCGGCGGCGGGCCGCGCGGCGGCTCGCGGGCCCCCGGGAAAACGGGCGGGGTGGCTGCGCCAGAGCGGGCAAAGGGAACGGGTCGCGCTGGCGGCCGCCCTCCAACCTCTCAGCGGCTCCACCGCCCAGTGAGCGTGAAAAAAAGAAGAGGCCCGCCCGAGCTCCATGCCTGCGGTCGGCTACTTGGTACTCCCTGATCAAGGGTGGCCGGCCCAGCCCCCAAGGGGCCCATCGCCCCTGCTCCACCCGCCAGCCGGCCGCCGTGGGAGAGGGGACCTCGGTCGCCGCGGGGGTGGCGCCAGGGGCCAGCGGCTCGCCTGAAGAACGGGTCGTTCTCGAAGAGGTGCTCGGCCTGGCTGGCGGGCCATCGCGAATCCCACCACTGGCGCCCACCGAAATAGAGGGTCCTGCGCCGCCGCCCCGCGCCGCTGCCAGGGCGGCGCGGGTTGCGCTCTCCGACGCGCGGGCCCCGCTTGGCGGAAGCGCGCCTTGGGTCGCGTCGCTCTGCCGCGGGTTGAAGACGGAACCCTCTGCGATATTGAGGGCCGCGTCGTTCGTCAACTGCTGCTCGTGAACGTTGAGGTGCAGGGACTTCTTGTTTTCCAACTTCGCGACGATCGGCACCGCAGCGAGCCCGCGCCGGGCCGCTTCGCTCGCCAGAGGGCCCGCGGCCACCGTCGAACATGTCCCTGGCGAGGATCTCTGCCCGCAACTCGGTCCCGCGCACGAGCATCGCCTGCCGCTAACCCAGGAAGTTGTCGAACCTCGCGATGTCGCCAGGGGCGCGCCCGATCGGGCCGTCGGGAGCGACGGGGCCAGGCCCGTGGGAGAGGGGGAAGTCCGCCTCGAGAGCCACCTCGTCGTGGGTGAACACTGCCAGCCAGTAGCGCGAGACCCTGGAGAGCACCGCGCACTCGGTCCAGAACCTGAGGCGCTCCTCGCAACAAGCGAGCATGCGCCCGCGCCCCGCCCCAGGGAGCCCAGCAGCCGAAGGTCGACCGCAGAGAGACTCGAGGGCACACCGCCGCAAAATCGACGAGCAGCGATCGCGTCCCCCCCGCCGTCGACGCCGACAGAGCTTAAGGTCGCCCCGTTTATCGGGAATCGATGGGGCAGCCCAGTAGCGACGCCCCTAGGCACGACCCCTGCGTCGCCGGCAATCTTATCGCGCGGCTCCTCGACGAGGCGCGGGCCCCTCATCTGGTAGCGCCGTCGCTTCACGAGCGAGACCGAGAAACTCCTCGCCGAAACCTCGATCGGGGGATCCGCAGCGCCGAGGGCCAGCTCTGAGGCGGATGCTGACGCGCCGCGGGCAACCCGATCGGCGCGCTCGCGACCCGCGCCGGGCGGAAGTCCAGGCTCATGCCGACGAGCGTGGCTGGCGGCGCGTCTGACGGGCTCTTCGGCCGAGGCGCCACTTCCCCTTGCGGTGGCGACGGCGCCTCGTGCACCAACTCGGCAGCGCGCGCAGGATCCGAGCGGCCCGTCGTCGTAGAGGAACGCCGGTCTCACCGGGGGGCCTGCTCGCACGTGCAACTCGCCCGCGTCCAGCTACTCCACCTCGCAGGGCCGCAACGCGACGTCCCTCGCGACAGTCAGTACTGCCGCGTGCCCATCCTCGAAGCCCTCGGCCACGGGCAAGAGGTCGCCTTCGCCCCCAGACGGCGACTTGTCCTCGGCGACGGGACTCTCGGAGTCAAGGTCCGAATCAGAACCGTCCCTCGCCGTGGCGCCCCAGTCGAGATGGAGTCCAGAAGAAAGGGGCGCTGCCGTAGCCTGGGCCCCTCGGGCCAGGCCTTCGGTCCCTTGCCGAGCAGTAGACTTGAGGCGCCGTCGACGGAAGACGACTTCCCTTCCCTTCCGTCGACGGAAGACGTCAGTACGGCGCGCCCTCGAGGGCCTGGCACGTCACTTCATCAGCGTGTCATACGCGAGCATCTAAACCAACGCGGCCTCCAACATGCCTCCACCATGCTCCAATACCGTTCCAAAGGCGGCCCACTGCTGGCTCATCGTTTGCAGGGTACTTATGTACTACACACTGTACATTGCATCAGTTCTAGACATACAATACGTGCTGCATACACATAGATATTATAGTGGTACGCCTTGTATTCCGACGTGCTTATGCAATAGCCGGAGTGTGTACAACGTACACACATGATTTCCAATACATCACCAACCCATACGTGTACAACCCTTCATACCGTTGTACGCACCTGCGTGAACGAATGTGTTTTTGTTTCCCTCGCGCCCTTTGTGCGTTTGCTGTGGGCTTGGCCCGCGGCGGCTGCGGGGAACAACAAGGGTAAGCTGACAAGGGTAAGCTGCGGGATGGGCCAGTGGGACCCCGCAGGGGAAATCCCACCAGCCTTTTAAGGCGTAGGTGGTCTAGGGAGGCTCCTCTTCCAACCCCCTTCTTCCCATTCGGGAAAGGTTTATCACTGCTCCCTATTAATATACACCACCTCCCCCAGGCGACTGGGAGCCAACCCGAAACCATGCGCCCCCCCCCACCATCCCCTGTAACAAACCATGCAAAACACACTCTGTCTCCAAATTCGGAACATGCGCAGCGAACCCGATGCGGCCTCCCCCCACGATCCCTGTCCCAAAAAATGCAGAGTACACGTGGCGGCGGCGGCGGCTGCGGCGGCTGCGGCGGGGGCAGCGGCTGCGGCGGCAGCGGCGGTGGCGGCGGCGGTGGCGGCGGCGGCGGCGGTGGCGGCAGCGGTGGCGGCAGCGGCTGCGGAGGCATCGGCTGCGGCTGCGGCGATTTGGCAGCGGGAGCGGCGGCGGCGGCGGCGGCGGGCGGCGGCAGCGGCGCGGCTGCGGCGGCGACGGCTGCGGCGGCTGCGGCTGCGGCGGCAGCGGCTGCGGCGGCGGCGATTTGGCAGCGGCTGCGGCGGCGGCGGCGGCGGATTGGCCCCCACAAACTGCCCATCCAAAGACGACTGCTGAACATGCAGAGGATCGGGCCAGGCTCGGGTGTTACGTATGTGTTGGGAGGGCGGGTGGGAGTGAGCGAAACGGCTTGCGGGCGGGGAAGGAGTCTTGACCCCTTCCCGTACCCCCTTCCCCTGGACCGGGTTGGGGGGGGACGCTGGGAGGTGGAGTGTTCAAAGACGGCCCAAGTTGGCTCCAAGAGCGCCTCAAGGAGCCCAAGATGAGCTCCAAGATGGCTCGAGATAGCTTAAAATACCTCAAACTGGCTCCGGTGATGTTCCAAAAGGCTTCGAAACCGCCCCAAGACGTCTCCAAGAGGCCTCCGAGACCTCCAAGGAGGCCTCCAATATGCCAGAACACTTCAAACACCGAAGAAACACCAAGGAATTTTGCATCGTCGCCCGTCCGCTGGCCTCAAGATGGCTCCAACGTGGCCCCAGAAGGCCCCACGAGAGGCCCAACAAAGCCCCAAGACGGCCTCAAGAACGCCCAAGAGCGTCCAAGAGCGCCCCAAGAACGCTCCAAGAGGGGTCCAGGAGGCGATGTTTTGGCTCCGGAGGGGCGGCGCTAATTGGGGAACCCTCTTTTTTATCGATGTCTTCCAAGAGGGCTCCAAACGTGTCCTCCCCAAGAGGCCTCCAAGAGGCTCCCAAGGGGCCCCCGAGAGGCTTCAAGAGGATCCCCGAAACACCCAATATGCCCCCCAGACGCTCCAACGGGCCTCGAACAAAAAACACGAGAAACAGGAGGAGGCTCTTCTGATCGTCACATGTTCCTCTTCCTCCTCCGTCTCCACCTCCTCCTCCTCCTCGTTTTCCTCCTGCTTATCCGCCTCTTATTCCTCCTCCTCCTCCTCCTCCTCCTCCCCCTCCTCCTCCTCCGTAGCCATTTTGGCTCAAGATGCTATGTTCCCCGTGGGACAAAGTGGATGCCGCTAGTCCGCGGCAGGCAAGACCCTTGGTTGTCTGGCAGTCTCTTCGCCACTTTTCGTACACCGCCCGTGTTCGGCCATGGCCTGGCGCAGCCGCGCCCCCTGGCATGCTGGCGGCGACGGCGGCGGTGGCGCATGGGTGTGGAAGCCCTCTGCTCCCGCTGCTTCCACGAAGAAGAAGAACAAGGAGAAAGACAACTCCTACCAGGTCTGCTCTATGTGCAATCATTGGGAGTTCACTCGGTATGGCCATCGCGCGTGCAGCAAGTGTGGTGGTCAGTACTGTTCTCATGCATTTGGTCCTGCTTCTGCCTCGTGGGACCCTGCTGGAGGTGCTCCAGGTGCTGCTGCGGTGCCTATGCCGCCTCATCTCGTGCAAGAGTTGCAGAAGTGGTATGTGCACTACCCTGCGCTCGCAGGCGTTGCTCGTGATGCAGCGCCTCCCCCTGTCCCTGAAGTTCATGAGTACTCGGGGAGCGAGCTTGATCGGCTCGCTGCGGCTGAGCAGACGGAGTTGGCAAAGAAGTGCGAGGCGGCCGCCAAGAAGGAGCGTCTTGCGTATCAGGAGGTCCAGTGGCGGCTGGACCGCTTCAACAAGGCCAAGGCTACGATGGAAGAGATGCAGAGGAACCACGTCGAGGCTGAGCAGCAGCTCGAGGTGGCCAGGAAGGCGACGCGCGAGGCGGACACTGCCAAGTCTGCCTTTGATGTCGTGGCCTACAAGACGGCGAAGGTCGAGGAGCAGCGGCGGCTGCGGGAGCAGCGGCAGGCCCAAGCCCAGGCGGCCGCGGGCGCCGTCCGCCCAGGCCCAGCACCAGGCGGGGATGGCGCCCCCCCGCCTGCTGGTGCGGACGGACGGACAGGCGGCGCCTTTGGCGCCCGCCAAGCGGCCGCCCACGAGGGCGAGGGCATGGATGTTGATACTGTTCCTTGGCTGCGCGGCATGCTGGTTGACTACACCTACGTGGAGGCTCACCTGCACGAGTTCACCGACGATGACCTGTCCAAGCTCGTGCAGTACTCGGGCATCCTGCTTCCTCAATGGCAGCAGTATCGACTCCACCTTCAACGGATGCGATCCCCTGCAGCTGATGACGCCGCCTCTGACATGGGCAGCGAGGTCGGTGAAGGCGACCTTGAGCAAGGGGAGCGTGACCAGCTTCGTGAGCTCAAAAAGCGTGCTGCTGACACGGGACTTGACGAGAATGCTGCAAAGGAGTACGCCGACCTCATCCAGAAGCGCATCATCGCCAAGTCGACGAAGCGTGCTCGCATCAGCCAGAGCGTCACTTGCGACATGTACCGCGCCTTCTGCAACGCCACCGCGAAGCAGATGGGCCAGCACGGGGCTGGGTTTGCCCCGCCAGGAGGTGCTGCTGGTGGAGGCGCGGCTGCTTCTGAGGCCCAGCCCTCTGTTTAGCACGCCTCCTCCGCCCCCTGTGGCGGCGTCGCCCCAATTTCCGCCCCTCCAGCAAGTATTTTTTTAAGTTTGTCAATGTAACGCAATGGTCTAAGCTCACTCAGGACTTTCTCGCGGCTAAGGTTTCTGAGGTTGATGGGATATTCCTGGCTGAGCATCATCAGCGAGGGCCAGGTTGCTTGCTGGCCAAGAAGACTTGTCGTCATATGAAGTGGTCCCCACACTTTCAGGATGCGTTGGCATCGCCAGGTGGAGGCACACATGGTGGAGTCGCAGCGGTTGTCCAGCCACGTCTCTGCTTTCGTAAGTTTCTCGTTCAATTGAAAGGAGCGGTTTAGGTAGGATCAGGTGAAAGCTGGTTCTTCTTGGAAATGCGGTTGAAATCGTGCACTGTTGCTGTAGGTGTGATCTACTTGGTGCCGTCTGTTGGAGCGTCTGGGATCAACTCTGATCGGCTTCGAGGTGTTGCTGAATTTGTTCGGGGACTCTCTATTCCCTGGCTTCTGATGGGAGATTTCAACATGTCGGTTGACTTTCTGGGTGATGCGGGGATCCTGGAGCTCTTGGGTGCTAGGCCACGTGTTCCCAGCATTTTTTTGCACCGTCGGTGAGACGATGATTGACTATGTGCTCTGCTCCCCTGCTCTTCCCCTACCTTAAGGTGTCTGCCGACCTTGGGTCCCCATTCAAGACGCACGCGTGCTTGGATGTTGTCTTGGATCTGGAAGCCATGGTGGAGCCCCAGTGCCAGAGAGTTAAGCCCCTGGAGGCCCCTGAGGCCTATGGCCCTGATAATCACTGGCTTACTTATATGGCTGCTGCCGCCCCTGAATTCCTGGAGGCCCCCCTGGTCATGCCTGAGGACCTTCACGAGGCCATGCATGAGCACTCAAAGGAAGTTGTCTCGTGAGTTAGGTATGCAATATCTGACTTGGTCTCGGGCTATGGAGTTGCGAGCTTGTTCACGTGCGTGTGCCATTATCACCAATCGCCCTCGATACCTCGGTCGCGGCAGTATGCTGAAGCGCAAAGACGTATCTCTGATGACTCGCAGTGTGCAGGCGCAGAGTTTTCGGACTCCTGATCTGTCTTACTGGTCGCTTATTCCTGCCCGACTGTACGAGTTGTGGAAGTTAACTTGCAAAGCTCCTTTTTTTTCAGATGCTGTTCGGCAGCATCGTGCTGTCTTGTCTGCACTCAGTGAAGATGTGTATGCGCATATTGAGCCTCTGGAGATTCCCGAAGATGCTGGAAGTTGGAATGAGATGCTCGACGACCCCCCGAGAAACCCAGAGACCCTCGGGAACTTGGTTGATGCTTGTGCGGTTGTCTGTGCTAAATCCTGGATGATTGCCCATGCTAAGACTAAGGCCAGTATGCGCAAGTGGCTTCAGGCTTCTCTTCCCCGAGGTGCTAGCCCCGTCCATCGCTATTTGAAGGCTGAGGAGAAGGTTTGGGTTGAATACTTTGAAACATCAGAAGGTATTGTCAATACCCCGGTGACCGTGATGAGCTATCGTGAGAGTAAGTGGAAGTCTTGGTGGGCCCCCTCTCCTCAGCGTTTGGCCTGTCTGAATGCAGGCCTGAGCGGGTTGCGATCCCAGGCCATGGTAGCCCTAGAGGACATTGATCCTCTTGGAGTTCCTGATGTTGCTCGTGCATGTACTTGATTCAAGGCAACCACGGCTGTTGGTGTTGATAGGTGGTCGCCTCGTACTTTTCTGTCTGCCACGATCGACTCGCTCGATTCGTTCACGGGCATCTTGCGCACCGTGGAGGAGACCTTGAGTTTCCCTCCGCAATGCTATGTTTGTCTCATGGCCATGCTCCCTAAGTCCATCTGTGATGAACGTGCTGTCGTCAAGTGTCCTAACATTTATCGAATCTACTGCAAAGCTCGGGGCTTCGACAGTGACGAGCGGAACAAGGCTCACCTGGACTTCTTGGACTCGGCGGTCAGGGGCTCATCGGCCTTGACGGCTGCGTTGTTTCGGGGGCTGGCCCATGAAGTGGCCCATGCGTGTGGTTTCCTCTCCTGCGCCCTGCACTGGGACCTCGAGAAGTTCTTCGACTCTGTCAGCCCTAGCAAGCTCCTGCACTTTGCCACCAATCAAGGGTACCCTGGGCACCTGCTGTATTTGGGGCTCCTCATCCACACTGCTCCAGGGCTCCTGGAGGTGTCTGGAAGCTTATCGAAGGTGTTGATGTCTGGGGAGTCTGTCCTGGCGGGCTGTAGTCAAAGCGTGCCCTGGGCAAAGTGCTACCTGTACGGAGTTTTGGAGAAGGCTCACAATAGGATCCCCCGAGGCCCTGGAGATCTTCCACATGTTCGCGTTCCCATCAGGTCATATGTAGATGACATCACCCAGTATATGCAAGGTACTGCTGAGTATATCTGTCGCTACCTGCCGCAGGCTGCTGCTTCCTTCCAGCATGATATTTCTGAGCTTGGATGCTTTCTCAGCTCCAAGTCGGTCGCCGTCGCCTCGTCCGTGGAGCTGCAGCGGCTCCTGGAGGACGAGTTTAAGAGGCTTTCTGTCTCTATTCAGTTCGCGCCCACTGTCAAGGATCTTGGTTCGGTCACCACCGCCCACAAGAGGAGGGCCACGTGGAAGATCCAGCAGCGCCGTGCCATATCGTTTCGGCGTGGGCGTAAGTTAGCATACCTTGCTAGGCTTTGTGGGGCCTCTCGGAAGGTTCTCAAACCTGGGATCCTCTCCGTGGGAACTTGGGGACATGCTCTACTTGGTCTATCACCTGGGGCCCTGCGACAGATCCGATCGTCGGCTGCGGCATGTTCTGGGTTCTGGTCCTCTGGGGCGTGTACCACCACAGTGTTGAAAGTGTTGCATGACCCCAAAGATGACCCAGTTTATCAGTTGCGTATTGAACAACTTACTCTGGTTTCGGAAGTTTGGGTCTCCCTTTCTGAAGGTCTTCGAGCTGGAGTTCGAAAGGTTTGGGAGTCCCTCAGGCAGAAGATGCTATCAGTTTCCCCGTCTGATAGGTGGCGCCAGGTTCGTGGCCCTGTTGCTGCTCTTTTTGCTATTGTTCTTGACCTAAGTTGGGGCCCTCGCCAAATTGATGAGTGGCATGTTGACGGAAGTGAACCATTGAGAATGACATCGCTAGATTTCCGTTATCAGGTCACTGCTGCTGTCCGTGCTAAGTGTTCTGCCCAGGTGTGGGCCCACGCCAGTCAGCATTGCTGCGGGCAAGGACTCGCTACTGGTGCTGATCTGACTGTGTTTCGTGTCAAGCATAAGAAGTTGCTGGACGACGGCGACTACAAGCGTGCTGCTCTTCTTGCGACGATTGTGGTTGGTGCATGTTGGCCAGGGAGCCGTCTTGATGATAGTGGATATCTAACCTCGGGGAAATGTTTCCGTTGTGGTGACGAGCGAGAAACGCCTCTTCACCGATGCTGGGGCTGCCCTTCCAATGCGTTGCTGTTATGTCCCAGCATTTCTGGCAGCGAGTACCTTGTCGAGGGTGCTCAAAATGCAGATCCAGCTAGTGCCTTCTTCACTCGCGGGGTCCCATCAGTGGATGCCTCATGTGGTCACCTACCTCCTCCACAGACGTGTGTTTGGAAATGGGGTACCTTGAGGGCTCAGCTACGTGTTCCAGGAGGAATGTGGGGCCTTGATGGCCCTGGTGGAAAGTATGCTACTGATAAGCGGCTTCGTCGATGTGGGTGGTCGATCGTGGGTTTGGGCTTCCCCGACGGGCTCTCCCTCCAGCTCAATGCAGTAATGTGTGGTAGTCCCCCTACTGCTGAACGTTCGAGTCCTCGTGCTGAACTCTATGCGTTCCTCATGGTGATCACGCATACTGTTGATGATATATTATGTTATTATGATTATCTGCCCTTGGTGAAAGGGCTCAGGCAGCCACGAGCTCAGGTAGTTGCCAGTAGTGCCATGCTCGATCTGTGGGTTCGGATCTGGTCGGCTCTCGGTGATCGGGGCCCTGGTCGGGTCGAGGTCCTGTGGATCAAGAGCCACTCGACGGCCCAACAGCGGGCCCAATTCGCCATAAGGGAGGAGGATTTTTTCCTGAATTGGTGTGCTGATTATTTTGCTGCATGGGCTGCGGAGCGTTCGGCCCCCACCCCAGAGCAGGTTGATCTAACTCAGTTTGTTGATGGGATAACTTCTCACACACTCGATCGTTTGTAGGCGATCCACAAGGAAGTTGTCCAGGCCAACCCAAGGAGGACCTCTGACAGGCTCGGCCGCCCGCCGCCACGCCCACCTCCTATCCCCTCCTTCCTTGTCAGGAAAAAGAGGTTGCGGAGCGCTGGCCATGATGAGCCGAGAATGTGCGGATTGTTTTTGAAGTGTCAGATGTGTGCGCGTAGATTCAGTCTGAAGGGTCGTGTCCAGGACTTTCGTCCAGGAACCTGTCCTGGCCCTGCCCATCTCTCTTCTGACCCGCTCACCCACCCTCTCTATCCAGGTTGTGCCACGAACCACCGATTGAGAGTGTTGCGAAGTGTTTTGTATTGTGCCCATTGTGGTGCTCATGCATCTGTGAATGTTCAGAGTCTTGCCCGACCCTGTAAGACGGATCGCCCCCCCGCGAAGGCTGGGGCTGAGGTGCTTTCCCGTCATGAGAGGGGGTTGCCCCCCCCAAGAGCGGAGGTAAATTCCCGCATGCTGCGTGAGTGGAAGGCGTGCCCAGGCTTGACCTGGTCTCCACGAGCTTTCTGATCTGATCTGATCCCCCTCCTCCTCCTCCTCATCCCTCCTCTCTCTCCCCCGCCTTCTCTTCCTCCTCCTCCTCCTCCTCCGAGGGCAGGAGGAACTGCCCGCGGAAACCACGACAGCCGGTATGCTTCTCACAAATTGCTGTCTTGGGATGGGCTGGTGGGGATACTTTTCCGTCGCGGCCGCAAGCGAAGGCGCAGGCGGCGCCCGAAGTCAGCCCGGGCTGCGAGCCAAACCTGGTTACCTAAGCGCGCGAACTAACGGCCGCCGAAACTGCCGCCGAGGGGC